TAATAGATCAAAAGTGATTTACTGAGGGAGGTCTTCTCAGGAAAAAAATGCCATCATTCAATTAGGAAAAATTAGTTTTATAAAAGGATTTTTTTTGACAGGTTAAAGAAGTTCTTATTTACTGCAAACACTTGAAGTAAAAAGAATTCATATATTTGTTTAATAATAATAATAAAATTAGTTTGAATTTATCCTTAGAGTTAGAAAAATATATTCTAACTGATTTGCTATTTATATATTAAAAATATTAGAATTGTTATCTTTAAAGAATTTAAATAAAGAATAAATGTTCATATTAATATCAAACATGTTCAACTGAAAACAAAAATAATTTCTGCAATTGGTGAATAGAGATATGTCCAAACTAATGAAGAGGGATCTATTGAGTTTTCAAAGAACTGAAAAAATAAAATTGATATATCTTCTGTCTTTTCTTTTTGATTAAGGAGATTGCGTGTGGATAGTTGACTGGAGTGAACTTTAAGGAATGTTGTTTAATATCACAAACCTTTGCATTCCAGATAAAATACCAAAACAAAATACATAAAAATAAAGAAAAAGATATCACATTCCTTTTGGGAGGGGGGGGATTTCTACCTTTTTTTTTTTTTTTTTTCCAAATGTTCTATGATGGACGATAGTGGAATTGATATTGCTAGAAAAAAATACTTTTTATAAACACAACCAATAGATTTCGGAAATTGAGCATGGTCCACAACCAGTATGGCCTGAGTTATCACCCCTTGTCCAAAGAAGACAAAATCTTATCACAAGGGCAAGGAGGAAAAAATAATTTTAGCCAAGAGGATTTTTTTTTGATTTTTTTTATAGCTTTCAAACATTGCAACTTTTACATAAGTAAGTTAACCATATTAAGGATTGGCAGCATGAAAGACTTGCCTAAGGCCTACATAGCTTAATAATTTGAACCAAAGCCAACCAAATGCAATCAGTGATATGTGATTATTTCAGATCATGTATTCTTATTTATTTGGGGCAAGTCATCAATATCACAGTCACTCTTCTCACCAATGTATGTTTAGGTGTTTTTGTGTGGGAGGGTGAGAGGGGGGAAAATTACATTTAAGGGAATGGCACTATTGCAGCCAGTTTTTGATTTATTCAGTGAGTTTTCAGTAAACAAATGAATGTACTGAACTCACATGAAAGCTGCTACCTTTGTAGTAATTAAAATTTTGAACGTTGGCTGTCATTATGAAATTAGATTTTCTGCTGACATAATTTGTGACAACAGTTTTTACCAACATTGCACCAAAGATATCCAAGGCTCTACTCCTGAACAATACCTGAAATTACTTGCTAGAAATAATATAAATCAATGTCACCTGATGATGGCTGGTGAGCCTAGTAATTGAAAATTGATGAAATTTAAAGTCAAGGATAATAGACTGAAAAAACTCACAATCAGATGCCTTATTCCACAAATACTGAACCATACCAAAAGACTTGAGCTAAATCTGTTAATAAATCACAAGTTAAAGGAGTTGGAATCAATTTTGGATTTCCCTTATATGGAATACTTGGCCACAACAAAACAGATCTAATCACCCAAAATAGTTCATGTATAAAAAGCAAACAGATTTTGAATACTTTAGAGAATGAGTCAAACAAAAGTCAGAACCACTCAAATGTCAATAGAATTATTTATGATTATTAATATTTCAAGTTTTGGATATTAAATGGGATAAAAATGTAAACTATTTCCATGGCAAATTCAGAACACAAATCAATATTGAACCTTGTCTGAATACAGAACCATGAAAATATCAACTGAAATTTTCAAGATTTAATTATATTTTCTTCAAGTTCCTGGTATGAATTTATATGGAGGTGATATTTGTATAAAGTAGAATGCAAAGTTGTCATGGAAATATTCTGAAAATTCATTAACTGAAATTGATAGTTTAAAAATGTAGAATTTATAAAATATTCTTAATGTGATATTGAGTGAACATATATAATACTGGACATACATAAAATGACCCCAACATGAATAAATGTGCAATATTTCACATTGCACAAGATTCCCTTTAATTCCTTAATTTTGTTTGTCCCAACAAGAGAACTACCAAATGACTGCAACAAATATGAACCAAAAAGTTGCCCCAAAATAGTTTCATTTAATAAGTATGCAAAATCTTCAAAATTTGAAGTTCATGAATTAAAATTTCAAAATAATTTTAATAACTAAAAATATACAAAACTACTGACAATTCCAAAGTTAAACTCCAAATTAACACAAATGAATCTTAATTTTGCCAAGTTAAAGAAATATAGTTACCTTTTACTTAAGATAATTATTAAAAATAAAGAAAAAAATTACTATTATTTATTTTGAAACCTTTCAACTAATTTATTCTATTTTTGGTTTATATACACTTTAATTTAAAAAAATAAATTTAAAAAAAGTGATGGTCTGAATTCTCCTGTGTGAGAAATTAAGAAAAACAAAAAACACAAATACTAAACAAGGAGCAAGTGTAGTTACTCCTTAATATCTCCTGGGGTTTGTTTTCATTATGAAAATAGTGGAAGTATATGTTATATTAATCTAGAAATGCCAATTTGCAAAAAAAAGCTCATAGCCATAATTACATCACTTGCTACAAGCAGTTTTTAAGTATTGATAAAGAAAATCAAATTAATTCTTTTTCAATATACAAACGTTAATATTGATAATGTGTGGCCTGAGTTATTGCATAAGATATTGAATAGGGACTTCATTGTATAGAATAAAAATTGTAGCAGAACACTTAAAATAGATCAGAATTATAACTAATAAAGCTATTTAAAATCTTGAATTATTTTTCTGGCGAAAATATTACTGAAATTGAAAAAAAAAAATCCTATTATTGAACACTTAAGAAAAAACAAATTTTTAAATTTGATGCCATAGAAAAATCCATAGGTTTATAATTGTCTATAGAGGATTTGATAAGTAGCAGTTTCATTTATTTTGGCAGCGATTTTGTAAATACACCAGATAAATAGAAAACATGATAATTATGAAGAAAAAAATGTAATCAATAAAAATATAGATAGTGTATGAGATATTATAAAAAAAAAATTACAATGTAAAAATTATCTAAAATACAAATTTTTTTCTTCATTATTCCAGTGATTTGTTAACCTATAAGAGATTCTAACTTGTGACCACAAAATTTGTATTGCTTATTTTCTCCACAAATCATTCATTGAATTAGTTGAATGATTTGAGTTTTAACAAATTTACCTCTATTTTATGCAAAATTTTCATGGATAATGATTATTCTTTAAAACAGTTGAATTTGCATTAGAATTTGTTAAAAGTTAAATGATTTTTAAAACCTGGTCCCATATTGTAAATTTAACTTAAAAAAAATTAAACAAATAAATAAAATTTAACTGGCTTAATGGGGAACGAGAATACAGTGGTAAATTTTCATGATGAAATAAAAAAAAAAAATAAAAAAAACTTAGAAATTGGCCTTTCCTCTTTCATTTGGCAAAACTTATGACAAGATCTTAGAAAAAATACTTCTCCAAACAATTCTCAACATACACAGACCCTTATTTACTACAGTGTCTACCTAATGTTATTTAGGCATTTTTAGTAACTATTCAACAATTAAGATTATGAATTGTTTTAAATAACTTTGCATTTGGTAACCAGGCAAAAATATATTTTATGTTTAAATCCTAGAGTAAATTTTTATAAGTAATCTCTGTAAAAATTTAAAAAGAAAACAAAGGATAAATGAAATTATAATAAAAACAAAAAAAAACATTGACTGTCATTTGCATGTTGGTCTCAAGTAGAATTTTTGCGCATTTGTTTGAGAAAATTCTGCAAGGAAAAAAGGGTGGGAAATATTGAGAGATGCTTCTGACCTGAAGAATGGAATTTGCGGTCACTAAATTCTCTGCAGACAAAAACAGAAGACACAGGGTCTGACAGTCTAGTCACACTGGTAGAAACCTTCATTCTTGCATAAATTGATAAGAGCAGAGTTTGTTGAATAGGTGGAATTCTTTTGTTTGGAATTGTTAAGTTATTGGATCCTGTTTGCATCTTTATTTGGATTTTCGTGTTCTTTGCAGATTTTTGTGGGAGTTACTTCAACATTTTCTCTTTAAATAGTTTTGAATAGAGAAGTTGCAGTGTATTTGTGAACAAATGTGTGGGTTTGTATAAACAATTGCTGGATTCATACAGAAAATTTAATGTGTGCTTCAATGACAATAAAGAATCTTAGTTTGAATTCAAAATATTCTTTCTGTATAAATGTTTGAAAAAGAATGTCAAGCACTGGGAAATAGAGACCTTTAAGTCTTTAATCCTAAACTATAATCACTGAGCTATACCCAAAGGTACATAAGCTTTTATGACCACAGATAAGGATGTGTTTACCATAAAATGAAATACAAAAATTGTTGTATATTTAGATAGTATACACACACAAGGATAGCATCTGAGTGTTTGCAAAAATGAATTTTTTTTTTTTTTTTTTTTGTTGTTGTTGTTTTTTTTTTTTATGTAGGGATGCGAAGTGTGTGTGCACACATCCCTCTGGGTGCATGTGTGTACATAAGATGAAGGACTGACAGAAAATTATTGGTAGCTGAATGATAGAATCTTTACTTCAAAGTTTATTATGAATCTTAGCATTATCAGTTATAAAATAAAAAAAAAAAAAAAAAATTGTTACAAGTTGTGTTACAGACATTTGGGAGTCGAGAGACCAAAGCTTATCACACTTTCTACTCAGATTTTTCCATGTGTTGTTTTTTTTTTTTCTTTTTTAAAGAGTTTCTTTTTCTGGTTAGTTTTCTGTCTTTAGTTTTATAGTTTTCTTTTATCGTTCTTTTCCAATGCTTTTGTAGTTCCTTTTTATTTATTTACTTTTTTTTTAATTTTTTAATTTTTTTTTTTTTTACTAGCCCAGGGTTCAATTGCAGTGGCATTGGCAGCAATGTTCTCACCAATAATGGCATCTGCATCACTTCACTTTGTGCCAAGGTTTCAGGTCAATACCTTTGTGGTCTGGTAAATGACGATAGTGGCATTTCTCTCCAAATTGGCAGCCAGTTGTTCGCCAAAAGTAGCATTCATTACCATTTACAGGTCCTGACTGTTTGGGTAAGCTGCTTCGAATCCTGCAAGCAGAGCAAAAAAGAAAAACAGACTTCATTAATAACTTTGAAAAATTAAAAGATTATAAAAAAAAGATTAAAAATATATTTTTTAAACCAGTATTGAGACAAGATTAAAAAAAAATGCAAGATTCCATGTTAAACTTCATACATTTGTTTACTAAGCATCCAGATATGCATCATTCAACTGACGAGTTTAGGAAAAAGCTCTTTAAATATTTTTTGTTGCAGTTTTTTTTTTTTTAGATCGCATTTTTTTTTTTTTTTTTAATTTCTTAGCTATATAAAGAGTATGTGGGTAAAAATTTGTAAAATATCTAATTTTAAAAGCTAAATTAGGAAGAAAGATTTTGAATCTATGCTGCTTTTATTCATGAATATATACAATTAATTCTTTAACTTATTAAATGACTGAACAAGCAAAATGGGGTTGACAGCCAGTCCTTTTGTTAACTTAGAGAATGCAGATAAAGCATTCTTTCTGGAAACCGTGTTTTAAAATAAAGCAATGACTTCTAAAAGGTGCATTTTTCATACAAGAAAACATAAATCAGCAACTGTAAAATACATAATTTTTATAAATTTATATAAATATACGAGGCAGTGTGACAGATTAAAAAGGCTCATAAATTTGTGTGAAAAAAAAAAAAATTGTGAAAATTAACAACGGAATAAATCTGCCATGGCAAAGTGACATGGCAATGCAAAAAAACAGAAAAAGTCTTTAAATGAATTTCTGAAAAATACATTGATTCTAATTTATAAGCTTTCAACATAAAGCACCATTTGACTATTGTTTAACTCTTTACATTAGTAAGAATGACCATAACTTGTTTATTGATGCCTGATAATCTCTTAATGGTTTTTTTTTTTTTTTTTTTGGGGGGGTTTGAATGAATCAACAAACATTATTAAGACACATTGATTTTTTTATAAATTTATGCACCAAGAGATGCCAGGAGTATGAAATGAAATAATTTTTCAATACCTTAAGGGTCCAGTTATACATTTTATTACAGAAAATAAGTTAAAATTAATAGATCATAATCCCCTAGGTTAAGTAGACATAATAAGAATCTATTGTAGGGACGCAGAAGTTAGTTATCTCCCTTTTACAGGATGTATTTATTGATGTTCTAAGGGGACCTTGATGGTCAGAATACTTCAGCTGTTAAGGCCTTGAGGAAGACAGATGTCATAGTAACAGCAGTTCAGCAAACAAGAGATTGTTAAGAATTCTAAATAAGAACATAAAAGATATCACCAAGGCTGGCAATGTTCCTCCTCAGAACATTACAAAAATAGGACCCTTGATTTATTTGTCTCTTCATAAACTATTTTGTTCATGTTTTCAATTTCTCTGTAGGACAAATTTTTATAATTATATACATATATTTGTATTGCATTTTTGGTATGACATTTGGATTTTCTAGTATTGTATATAAAATATTTTCAGGCATAACTCATTTTTGGAATTAATTTTTTTTAGCTATTCTACTCCTTCCTCACATTACATAAAGGTGTTAGTATATCTCAGATAAACTAATGCCTAATGTGGGCCGTGGAGATAAGATATTTCTTTTTCAAAGCACCCTATACTATTATGTAAATTCTTTATTGTAAAACCTTTATTAATAAGTACTTAATATTAGCAGTTAGTTACAGAGACAGTTAAAAGGTTATTTTTAGAAAGTCAACCTAAAATGAAAGTAAAAACAGTTGGTATGAGAAAGAAACATTGTTTGAGAAAGGGAGAACACAAACAAAAAAAGATTTTAAAAAATTGAAAAAGATTAGTGAAATAGAAAAAACAAGAAATGATATAAAAAAATCTGTTACAAAAAGTTCAACAAACAAACTCAAAAATTTGAAATGAAGATGGGCTGCTTCAACTCATAGTACCCAAGTATTTTCAAAATAAAATATTATCTCCTGAACTATTACAGACCACCAATTTCAAAAAAGATAAAGTAAATAAGAACTGGCCAGCTACATCTAATAATCTATACTTTAATGAATTTGTGCTTCAAGGCATCCTTTGGGTACAATGGTTTTAGAACTAAATGCAAGGATCTGAAATATAAACATTTTATTTTTATTTTATTCCATAATAACACATTTCTAAAAACTCAGAGTAACACTTCTTTTTCAGTAATGCTAACTTACAGCAGAGTATTTGTGCCCAATTGAAAATTCCTCTTTCTCTACTAAACCTTTAATAATATTTATTTTGTTTTACCAACCCACATCAGGCTTGATCTTTTTCTCTTTACATACATTTCTGAGTTATATGAATGATAGAGTGTGTGTGTGTGTGTGTGTGTGTTTAAACAAAATTTAAAAAAACAACACGAGTTAAAATAAACAAAACCTGCTTAACCAGTTACTAAGCAGTTTAAAATCATTCATTCAAGTAAATCAGAAATTTACTAATTATTATTATTTTACTAATCTTACTTATTATAAAACGCAGATTGTGTGTGTGTGTGTGTGTGTGTGTGTGTACGTTTATATATTGGATCGGATTTCCTACATTTTTCAACCGATTTCAACAAAACTTCACAGGACTACGTAAAATTACTTTGCGGTGGTTCTAACAGTGCCAAAAATTGGAAAAACACAATTGTTTTTACACGAAAACAATTTGAAAACACGATTAAGAGGCATCCCAAGAATGAAAGGGGGACAACTCATATCGAGTTATACTTATTATAAAACCCAGGTTGTGTGTGTGTGTGTGTTCATTTATATATGGGATCGGATTTCCTACATTTTTCAACCGATTTCAACAAAACTTCACTTTTTTTTTTGGCAGGTAGTGTTTCTTATTGTCTTGCACTTTTTTTTTCTTTATTTTTACATTCAGAATGCTTTAAAAATTCCATTTACAAGACAATTGTTTATAATAAAATTCTATTCAATCGGTAGACTCATAACGATTGAAAACAATGTTTTTGTTTGAGTTTGACCAATTTGTAAAAAAACTAATTAAGACATGCGTGTCCGTCAACCTTAAACAATAATCTTTGTCAATTTTATTTTTCAGTCTTTATGATGGTCGATACTTGATCTATCTCTTACTGATACATCCCCAGGCAACGCTGGGTTCTACTGCTAGTTACTTATGAATTTTAAAATACTAGTTTAACTTCTGACTTTAGACGCTCTTAAATAACAATTAGTAAAAGTTAACAATTTGATATACAAAGTGAGCTAATATACCTAAAAGTTATTTAATTTTATATCTGTTAATGTATTATAATAGCCTAGGAAAAGACCAAAATATACATTTAAGAAATAAATTCAGAAATATGTGGTTTTATTAAAAAAAAAATTTTTTAACTTCTGAATCATCATCAGTTATATGCCATGCGTGATACACATGTAGGCGATCATGTATCTTTTGATACATGACTGACGAGGCAGAAGGAGGAAAAACTCTGAATTCAAAACTGTATGTAACCCTGGCGAAGCACTTACTATGCTGGTAAAGAAAGGTTTGTTCACATTGACTCTTGTTTTTAATATGTAACACAAAATCTGATTATTCAAAAATATTGCGTTTTTAAAGCAGCAAACCTTGCCTCAACTTCTGAATAATGACAAGGTATAATCTTTAGTCAAAAAATAAAATGTTTGCATTATCAATAAAACCAGTAACTAATTTCTTAAGTCTTTCTTCAAGATTTTTTTATATTACAGATTTTTATAAAGATAACTTAAAACAGATAAATATTTTGTGATAACTTGACAATTTATAATGAATATATATAAAATAACAATAAAAAGAAACTAATCCACATCCAGATTACAAAATTTGACTAGTTTTTCTTTAACCTACAAGAAAATTTTAAACTTTTATAAACATTTTAATGCAATTACAGTAAAAGGTTCTATAAAAGGAACAAACCTTCTGGTGATTTGGTTGAAACTCTTACAACCAAACTCAAAACCACAACTAAATCACCATGTTTCATAGAACTTGATTTAAGAAAGTTTATATTTTCTTTATAATGTTATTGGATATAGGAAACTTTCTAACAGATTTTCCAAAGAATGTAATCAATGAATCTGTAAATACAAATTAAATTAGAATTGTATCAAAGATTAAGTTAAAAAAAAAAAAAAAAGGAACATTTTCATTATTATTCTAAATTATAGTTAACTGAATAATGACATGAAAAGAAATACTGAGTAAACCATTTAATGTTCATCTGGGATATAAAATAACTGGGGACCAGTTCAAAGAAAGGAGAAATTTCAAAAATGAATATAAATTTCTTTGGTGTGTGTGTGTGTGTGTTAAATAACCCAAATTTTAACTGAAAGTTTATAGAATATAAATTATACATTACATTTATTTCCATTTTTTTTTTTATGGGATCTCAGGCAATTCTAATTATCCCAAAGAATATGTTTACAGTATTGGGATTTCATAAATAAAGCAAAATTTTTGTATCCAAGCAACTCAAATGTGATTTTCCACTTACTGTAATTGAAACTTACAAAAGAAAAAACACGATATAATAAACTTATAAAATTATTAGTATTTTTGTTATATATTAATTTCCAGATCCAGGCATAAGTTCAAAAAGGTTTTAAAAGAAATAAAAGAACATAGTTCAGAAATAATTGTGAATATTTTTATTATTTTCATCATGTTGTAGAATTAGCATAGGAAAAAGAAGAGAGAAAGTCGTTATGAATGATTGAGTCACATACCTTCTTGTTTTTCCACTGAGAACTGAAAAGCATTATACCAAACTGATAGAGCAGAGGCTAATTTTTGAAATGTTAGTCTAATTGAAGTCAGTACCCCTTTTTTTTCTTGAATAATTGTGCTTCCTTTCATACACTATTCATTTCTAATGTTTATCAATTTGAAACTCCTGAATGTCACAAGAATTAAATGGCCATTAAAATACAAGTACACTTTTCACTTGTTAATAAAAAAGAAAAAGTAGCATAGATAATAATGCATATATTTAACATGTTTATTGTCACATTAAATGCATGTTTTGTGACATCTTGCATATTTCCTGACATGAGTGCATCTATTCCACAATTTGAGATTAAAAGATTATTTTTCCCTATAGTCATGCTAATGTTTTTTTGCCAAATAACAATAAACAGCTCAGCATTGTTGTTATTTTAACTTGATTTGTAGAACAGTTTTTGGAAAGAAAACAAACAACTATGACACATGTCACTATGCAGAGTGTAAAAAAAAAAGTCAATGCCAAGGACACATTTTATAGTTTAGTAAATTTTATTTATTAAAATAAAGCAATAGTAGCCTAACATAGCAATTTCTAACTCTAAAAGACACATAAATGGCATTATGTAAGAGTTCAAATATCCAAGGTAGTTGTGAGAAAAGTTAACTTTTTCAGTTCAACATTAAAAAAGATAATTACATACAGATAATCAGAAAACATGTTATAAAAGAAACATACAAGAAATTATATACAAAACCAAATTATACGAGTACATCTTCTCAAACCATTAAGATATTTTAACAGAAATATGCAAACCAGTTAATATGGGGCAGAGATTTAGAGAGGCTGTAAAAATAAATGATTATTAAGAAAATCATTTATTAAAAGTAATAGTGCATAAACAAGTGCTTCAAAATTTTTCACTCAGATTTAATTACAAATATTTGGGTTCTTAAGAAATGGCAGGTTGCAATTTTGTTTAGGCATGTGCATGCATGTTCACATTTTTCATCAATGCAAAATTGCCTTCTTTTTCATGCATCAAGAAAAAGTTTTAGATCAACATTTTATACAAATATCAAATCATAAGTGTTTCTCAAAAACCAATATCACATAGATAAATAAATTAGTGTTGCTGTTATTTACATTAGAGACAAGGTTTTAATATTTAATTTTTTCATTACAATCATGATAATGCAACTTTTTAACAAAATCAAAAGGTAAAAGATGTTTAATATCAAAAATTATCTCTTTTTATCTGTTATCAATACAATTCTATCTTCACTAATCTCTCCAAGAAGAGAAACAAAAAGTAGATTTTAAAAAGAAAGGACAGTTGAAAAAATAAAATAAGCAGTAGAAAGCCAATAATCAAAATCAATTACAACAACTACTGTTCATCAATAAAGCTTTATTGATTTTTACATTCATTTTTTTTTACAGATATTGAATAAATTACTGAATTATTTAACAGTAAAACATACCAGGAATGCTAATACACCAACATTGTTATGTTATTCTCTTTTTAAGTTCACTATAACTTTTTCCAAATAATTACACTGGCGTGCTCAAAGTCATGGGTTAGGTGATTAGCATAAATTTAGGAACCTCTCAAGCCTGGCAAAATGTATAAACTTAACATGGCATTGATTCCCCAAGTGGTCAGAAGACCTCTGGAGAGCCATGTTGTCTTGACAGCTCCCTGATATTTGGAGGTGCAGGACCATGCATGCAAATAGACTTTTCAGCCACATCCCATAAAATGATTAGGTAGGTCCAAACACTGCAGTCACACCAATTCTGGGCAACTTGGGATCCAATAACAAAGGGCATATATAGAGTCAATGCATGGATGAAAATGGTCACAAAGCAGTGCAATGTGATGCTTACTAAACAATGACATGCTAAGACAGACCAGCAGACCTTATCTATGTTACATGAACATACTACAAACCATTATACAGCCAGCAGTAGCCTGCATAGTTCCTTGTTGACCACTGGAGTCCATGGCCTCATGAGGTCTGTGCCATACCTGAAAACTACCATTAGCTAGAAAGAATTGAAACTGAGAAGATGGTGATGTCACATGTGCCAATTCCCCATAGTCCAATTAGCAAATTCATGTGCTCAGGTGAGGTGCTAAGCCAAGTGTCATGGTGTTAAACATGGGACATCCTCGTTGGAGTTCTACTTTTATATCCCTTGGAAGCTAGAGAACAATGAACACTAATCTGCCGGATATGTATATGAATGTGGATATAATATGAGCTAATGTCATTTTGTCTGTTACTGCAGACAATTCTAGCCAGATGACTCTGGTGATGATCATTAAGGACCTATGGTCAGCCACAGCAGGTAGTGATACCTTCCATCATGAAACCAGATTTCAAACGTCTTCATAATTTCGAAAATGGAAATGAGCAGCAGAATCAGTGTTCACACTGACTCACCATATGTCAGAGCACACCGGACAGAGATCTGGGAATTTCTATCATATCAATGTCTGGTGGCACCACCTACCATTACATAATGTTATAACTTTTGGCATATAAATATAATTTAATTAACAAAAACAAAATTTAAGATCTTAAGTTTAAAGAGGATGGCCAAATTTAATGAAAAATATATAGAAAACATTTTAAGTTAATGAAAAAACTAAGCATTTTTGAAAAAACAAATACCGATATATAAAAATAATGCAAGGGAGACAAATACAAGAGACATCCACTGAGAAATATATTCTATTATTGTAGCACATTAAAAATAGCGCTAAAACAAATTATTTTCACTGATGTAAATGCATCAATACTCTACTATATAATGATATAACTGAAATCAAGTTATAAAGAAAAAAAATAGTTTTTTTGATGTTTTTATAAACTTTAACATTGTTTAGAAAACAAATATTAGAAAAGAAAACCCGTGGGAGTGTTGATAAATTCATGGTCAGACCAAGAAAGCCATTTGAAATGATATCCTGATATTTTGTCAGATTTGACAAATAGGTCAAGCTGAAAAATTTTAGTACCCACTCACAATGTTTGAAGGCAATTCATTTGTATGCTTAAGAGAAAAACTAAACACACATGTATAAATTATAATTATTGTCACTCTCATAATTTAGTCTTGGTTATGAACTATAAAAATTCTCCCCCACCTGCCCAATCTCCGAGTAAACTTACCAGAATTTCATACATAAACTTCTGGGAAGTCTCAAATATTTAAATTTCATTAAAGCTTTCATAGGAAGTTTAAGTATTTAGAAAATCAAGTAAACTTCTTCTGTTCATATTGGAGCAGACAATTTATTCGATTTAAATTAGAAAAGAACAACATCTAATAAATGATTTCTTACTTCAGAATCTGATAAAAAAAAAGAAGAAAAAAAACTTACATTTTACAATTAGATGCTGATGATTTTCGTAATGTTACATTTCCTCCATTTACAATTGGATTATCGGGAAATTTTATTAAAAGCTTCTGACCACCACACTCAACACCCTGCAAAATAACAAATTATTTTTTTTTTAATTGAGCTTCAATAAAAAAAATAAAATAAGCCAACATCAAGTAATGATTATATAGGTAAAAAAAAAAAAAATTATCTTGTCAAATCCATCAATTTAAATAACCAACATATCTTGCAGAATGTAAAACAGGTTTTTTTCAGTTTTCATAAAATTTCATAAAACTAAGAATTTTAAGAATATATATTTTTCCTGTTACAAGTCCAGAGAGATTTCAGGACTAATTTTTGTAAAGAGTTATTAACAAATCTTGTTCAAATTACTGATACATTAATAAATATCCAGAAAGATTTTTCTCTTTCCAATAACACCAGACCAATCCTAACAGTTATTTTATTCTGAATAACTATTAGCATTTTTGTGTTTGATAGTAAACCATACTTAACAAAACACACTTGTTCCTTAGCTACCGAAAATACTAGTACTGAACCAATATTAATCACATTAAAATAAGAAAATATTTAAAATCTAATTTATTTTCAAAGCAGATCCCATTAGATGTTAACCAAGACGATAAAGATTTTATGTTAACACAGCACTATAAGTAGTAATACAAACTGCATTTGTAGTTTTCAATAAGAGAGTAAAGAATACTCACTTGTAAAGAATTCATTGCTTTGCCAGCTGATTCTTTACTTTTAAAATTGATAAAGGCACAGAACCTATTTGGTAAACAGCGCACACTGGTCACAGGTCCATGCCTATTTAGAAAGAGTTTTAACAATGAAATACAGATAAAAAACGTTGAAACTTTTTGGGTTTAAAGAAAATCAGAACAAAATGCAAAACCAAGATAATAATTTCCTGCATTGAAAATTAGTTCAAATGTCCAGTTTTTATTTAAAAAAAAAAAAAAAAAAAAAAAAAAAAAAAAACTTTTCAAATCAAATATCACCAAAAAAGAAAGGTAAAGAAAGATAAAAACAAAATAAGAAGGGTTCAGCTGTCCTTATCACTAATCTCAATATAAAAGTTTATTTTTTAAGTGAATACAAGAATTAACCAATTAAAGTAGTTTTGATTTGCACATCTACAATGAACTTGCCAACAATTTTTAGTCAAAATATCCAAAAATATCAAGTGATACGTAAAAATTCAATAAACACCGATATAAAGATTAATTTCAAATATTTGTTTGCAATAAACTATTTTTTATGATATTCAGTTTTCTTCTAAAAGGGTTCTTTTAATATATTTTTTTAATACTAGGGACGTCTGGCACAAGTGTTCACACTTTTGAGTCACAGGCAACTCACACAAAGATCAAAAAAATAATAAAGACCAACTAATTATCGTTTCTTTAAAATTTTCTGAATTTATGAAAATTTTGAGAGAAAAAAAATTGTGGAAATATGTTTTTTAAAAAGTCAATTAATCTACACTTTATTTTATGAATTCACTATAAAATATCATTTGATAACTAAAAAAAAAAAAAAAAAAAAAAAAATCACATTTTTTATAAATGGAGAAATTAAATCAAGTGAAATTTTATGAAAAACTTAACTTTATGAAAGAAATCACTTAAAGGGAATTCAACAAGATTTTCAAACAGTCAAAACTTTGAAACAGCAATAGACTGAAGCTGACCCAAATGTGAAACATTAGTAGTCAAATTTGTAGCAGTGTGGAAGCAGCTTTGCACTCAAACGATAAAAAGGAAAGAAAAAAAAAAGTAAATTATTTTATTTAAAAATAAAAATTCTCTTTTCCCTTTAATAAATCTATAATCCTGAAACAAACTTTTTTCCTTTCCTGCTTTATATTTAAAAAAAAAAAAATATCTTCAAAACCATTTTAAACTTTCTCTTAAATTTGAATTTCAGGATTAATTACATTATTTCCCATAGGCTTTTAAAATTAATTAACACATTAAGTGTATTAGTTGGAATTTCTTACACAATATTTATAGAAAACACACCGAGTAGAAAGGGTAAAATAGTTTTTATCTAAGTTTCCAGACATTTTTATTCTTTCAAGTTAAAGATGATGGAAAAGATAGGGATCTGTGTCAATTTTGAGGCCAAATATGATACAGTGTGATGGAAAAGAAATCTCTTGTAAAAAGTTTGTTCATTATTGAAATATTATAAATATGGTAACAAAGATGAGGACAATAGTCCAAATAATGTAAATAGTGTATCATTTCAAATCCTGTCCTTGCCCCAAAGCAAAATTATATTCATTTTCATAAATTCATCAAAATATAAAAACTTGATATTCTAAAATTGCAAACTTGCATTTATAAATGATTTAAATACCTTGATCTCTTGATTTCGTATTTTTCCCAATAATGTATTAAAAAAAATAAAATAAAATTTAAATGTCCTTGGTTTAATTAAATGCTCTTCAAGTTGTTAATTGCAAGTTATTAAACTTTGAAAAATTCAATTACTATTTGTACTTAACACAAAAAGTTATGGAGTGAAAACTTTTGAGTATATTCAGAATAGTAAAATGAAGTTAAAATTGTTTTATATCATATGAAGTTGTTTTGGTGTTTAAACAATAAAACCTAGACTGGTTTGTAAAATGTTTGTAAAGCTAGTTGTGTTCAAGCACTATATATGCAATTATGAGTGGTGCATGTTTGTTTTTTTATTACAATAAACAAAATATCTTATTCACTTCAATAACTTTCTTATATGAACTTGACAAAAGGTTGATACAAATTAATGATTTATTATCATTTTTCCTTCTTTTTTTTTATCATTCCAAGATTTCTCTTATCATCTTGCCATTGTATTCTAGTATTTTGGTATTGTAAGATGTAAGCAACAAACTCATAATCAATCATTTGCAACACTGATAGGCTAGTTATCACACTTCATTCAAAGCATCTTTGAATAAAACTTGTCATGTCATTCCAAACCTTGAATAAAACATATTTTTCCATTGTTTATAATTTTAAATAATATAAAACATTTAGGACAATCTACTTACTTGGAAAACATCTGGTTTAATTTTTTCTCTGTAACTTCAGGCAACACATTACCTACCCATAAGGCTGTCAACCCTTCAGGGTTAGTGGGGCTACAAATACAAGAAAAAAAATGGAAATTTCAATAAAAAGTGATAGGAAAAATTATGTTAGATGAAACAGTTTATTAAAACTTATTTTATAAGATTATATAAAATGTTTTGGATAAATAATCTAATCCATTATATAATTTTTTCAAAGTATAAAAACATTCTTGTAATATTTTCTATCTTTATATATCAATGTTTCAAATTTTTTCATTAATATAAAAATACAAATTATGAATATTACAATCAGGCACAGCAATTTGTATGCGAGTTAATATTTACAAAACTAAATCATCATGCACCAATTAAAATACTCACTCCATTTTTGAATCCATTGGAGAAGAGCTTGTATTATAAATTGTTCCTGGATGTGCATGTGTCATTGTATTATTCATACAGAATTCTTCCTCATCAGACTCTAACCCATCATTTAAGGAGTTTTCTGCAGCTAAGAAAAACAAAGTTCAAAAATATTTTCAAAATTAAAAAGTATCAATCTCTTATTTCAATATTGCTACTTACAAAAGCACAGAAGACCAGGTACTTTGTACATAACTAATAGAACTCATCAGTTTCTATTAAAATTATTATATCTTGTCTAATTTCTCCGCAAGGAGAAGCGTGGCTTATCCTAAAAGAGGTTTGGCAGTGTGAACTATTATGATTACCAGAGATAGACTCCTGTTTTTCCCCTAACAGAAATACAGTAGTATGTTTGAAGAAAACTAGTTTTATTCGAAACAACCAGAAAAAATAAGGTGTAAAAATCAATTCAGAAAATCAATTTTATGCAAGTGATGCTAGCATTTGGAAATCATTGGATTTGTACTCAGAGAAACCCAGTAAAAACAAGTAATATTTGTACATTCAGGTTTCCTGACTGGACTTCATGAGCTGGGAGACACATGCCAGATGGTGTTTGTCTAAAGGTTTATGAATGAAAAATGAGGTTAAATTCTATATACTATTCAACAAATTTGGCACGTAGGTAAATTAGAATATGTAATTCATTAAAATGTAGGTTTCAAAGGATACAAAATAGATTTCTATTGATTGATCCAAATGTGAATATTTGAGTTATATGATTTTACTGATCAGTGTGACTTAAATGCATTAATTTTCTTATTTAAATGACAGTGTAGCAACAGGTTGCAAATGGATCCCAGGTGTATGTATTTGCAGTCTAATGTCACAGAGCTAAGCAGCAGGAGATGTCAGTAGACACACACACTTTCTCTCTCTCTCTCGGTGATAGAGTGAAGATGCTAAATAAAAAAGACCTTCAAATTTGGATAGGGTCTGCTTGAAGTTGCAATTATTAAATTTCTTTTTTTCCTCTCAACTCACATGTGGATGCCCACTGCTGCACACCTGAAATGCCCTTACAGAAAGTAACTTGGGTTTGTAATGACTTTCAATACATTTAGAATCCTGATGGAGAACATGTGGCAATAAGTCAAGATGTTCATGCCATCACAGTTACCTTTCCAACCAACTTTAATGAAAATTTAACTAACACTGAAGTCAGATGCAGATTTGCTGCTTCAACGACTTTACATGAACTGACCAAGTGTCAAAACTATCCAACATTGGATTGAAGAGTTTGTAAAAATATCATTCAGGCCAGCAATATGGTAGATATAAGTGTTGAGTAAAAAGTGTTGCAATTACCTAATTGTTAGGAGTTCAATCTCTGGATCAGGTACTGAAATTCATATACTCTGATTCAGCAAGAATGAGCAAGAAACAGCATCACAGGAACAAAATAACAAGAACCAAATCATGGATATCCCCTATCAGCCAAAAAAATAGACACCTGGAGGTGGCCAAAGACTATAAGTTATTGTGTTTAACAAAGCTTCAGATTAACATTGTCCTAGGGAAGATAAAACATTCGTTTGGGATGACTGTTTTATTTTTTTTGGACAATAAAAAATTTTTAAATTAAAATTCTATTATATCTATTCTAAAATCAACTAGTTCCTTAAAATAAAAACTTCTAATCTCTCACCAATAGTGGTGGACTTTTAACAAATGGGACACACACACACAAATAAACAAAACAAGTGCTTCCCTTTAAAATTGTGAATAAAACTAAAATGAAATTTGAAGGACTTAAATTTAGATATCTGTATTATTTATTTTTAAATAGGAAAAACATTTGGAAAATTAAAAACATTTCCATATAAAGTCATTCAAGGTGATTTAAACAAAATGTTTAAATAAAAATAAAGCTATGATTTTTTATAAAAAAATTATAAAATTGAACTAATTTGTTTTGTATTAGTTCATTTTTTTTAAGTTCAAATACTTTAGCTTTTTAAAGTTTTTGTTACAACCTGTGCTACTTACATTAAAAACAAATTTCAAAATAATGGCTGCAAGGCACAGAGACCACTGTTTAAAGAATGAATGCATCAAAATTAATGTTTATTTCATTAATGATTTAATGATGTTTTTATATGCTACTAACAACTATAAATGATAAAGTTATATTAAAAAAACACAAACGTGTGTGATTTTTAGGGAACAAAAATGATTTTTTACAACACCAGTGAAAAATGCTAGTGAGGAGCCCTGGTGTCGATAAGAATTAAATATGAGAATAGTTGTCATAATTCAGAGTATAATGACATTTCCTAATCTCAAAAATCAAGCAGAAAATTTTCATATACAATTATCTACAAGACTGAATCAATGAATATGAATTTCGTAAAAGAATTAAGTGCAACAAAATAAAGTTTAATAACTTTTGCACTTACCAAAAATCTAAGCCAACAAAACTTTCAGATTGTTGGAAGATAATGTTATGAATAAATATATAAACCAAATCTTGTTCTTTCATATAAACTGGAAATATATATTTACAATACAAACTCATTATGATTACCATGCAATTACAGTAAAATCTAGAAAAACTCTTTTTTCAATACCATTTACTAATAACAAGAAACAAAGAATGGTTCTGCTGTAATCAGTGATAAGTCTTTTTCAATGAACTAGAATAACACAGAACGAGAAGACAAACCCACAAAAATTGAACCACTATCATCTATGGTCTTTGCCTTAAAACATTTGACTTGTAGGATTGCAAAGCTGATGCATAAATTTCCTTTTAAGGCCCACTTGCTTTTTACTAGTGATGGTTGATATTTTAGTTTTGTTTATAAAAATTGTTTTATGAAATCTGTTGGATATCATAAGAAAGAAATATGTAAGAATATTTTTTTTTAAGTTGAGAAAAGGAGAAAATAATGTAAAATTTTATTGTATAAACAAACACTCACCAACACCAGCTAAAAGTGAATCTAATGCTGCTTGCACAGTTCCATGTTGATTTATTGCTGCTTCTGCTTGTGATTTCGTAAAGCCCATTTCCTGTTTGGAGAATTGAGAAATAACCATGGGTAGAGAATATGAGCAAAACTATCCAAAATCCAACAGTAGGCATCAAGCTATCATATTTATACTTGGGGAAATACATTAAGACAAAAGAATACAGTAAAAAGATTTATAATTATCTTGTATTAAATAAAAGCTGTAGGAAAAAAAAAATCTTTTTACACAATCTACACATATTTGAAAACAAGGTATGACAACAGACTTATTCAAGTCAAAAGTCAAAGTAATTACACTGTCATATATGTGTAAATTGGGTAGAATGGGTTATGTGTAAATTGGGTAGAATGGGTAATGTGTTTCAAAGAACAAATTTGTTATTTGAAGAATATTACTTAAGCAATAATGAATAGCAATCATTACCAGAGAAACAAGAATGACATGGCTGTGTTAGCATTAAATAAGAAAGGAAAAGAGTAAAACTCACTGTTATTTGATAAGTTCGCACCCTCAGCAGTTCTTGTTTGGCATCTTCACAATTTTTATCTAAGCGCACTACTTGTAAGAAAGCTTGTTCAGCTGTAGAATATTGCTAAATCAAAAGAATTCAAAGAATATGTGAATCACACTAATAAAAACATTGAAACTTTTACATTAAAAATTAACAAAAATTATATATCAAAACAGATTGATTTACTATTACAGCTTACCAACCCTTTTTGCGGTTTATTTAAAGCCAAAAACATTTTGCATTAACTTTTTTTGAGAATAACAATGATTTTTTTCCACATACAAGTTTTGCTATTTAATTTGCAAGGGCAAAAAGATTAGGGGAAAAAAATTTTTTTTTTTTTAGTTTCTTGGTATACAATTTATCTTTAAACCTATTCATACTGACTCCTAGACAATATTAAAAGTTATATTAATACTGATAGAGTTTGAAGTATTCTTGATACAAGATGCAGCTGAAAAGGCCTTGGCCTGACCTAGAAGTGCTTTAAAAAAATCTGATATTTATTCATTTGGATAGATTTGGAAAGTGGGTCAGGTTGAAAAGTTTTCTGCACATCTCAATATATTAGTCATTAAAAAAATCATGTATAGGACTACTTTTTGAGGTGCTAAGTTCTAAGAATATTTGGGCTTTTAAGTAATAGTCACTTAGCATTAGTATACCAGGAGTGAATGTTTGACAGAGTAACATGTAGTGAGAAAGTATTTTGGATCCCTTATTGCAAGTTGTTCCCTATTAATTCTGAAAAAAATAACCCCAACATTTATCTGCATTATTTCTATTTTTCTTATGGTCTTTAATGCTCTAATTCTACCTCACAGACAAAACCAATCAAGTCTTGTAATTCCTTTAAAATTACAAATTATATTCTCTTGACTAACACTCAGATTTTAATTCAAAATAAGTTACTATTTAAACAGTATTAAAACTATTCCAGGCATTGTACAGGTTTATTCAAAAAGAATGAACCAATTCCATGACGCATTGCTTCAGATCTCAAGCATCGTCATGGAAAGAGTCAGAGGAATTTTCTAAGTTTTGAATGGCTGCCACAGGGGCGTTGTAGTCGTGTCATTTCTCCAGCAACATTTAGTTGTTTGCTTACCCCCAGAATGGCAAGTCCTCAGCATAAGGTGTTCTGCATTCTCGAGTTCATGAAAACAAATAAGGTTGTCACAGTGCAGCATGATTTTTGAAGGCAATTCAACATTAATCTGCCCTCTCCTAAATTCAACAGTAGTTTAAACAGTTTCAAGAGAGTGAGTGTCTGCATAAAGTAAAAAACGTACAGGACAACCACAAGTTTCAGAGGAACAAGTGGCGAGAATCTGTGTTACGTTTGAAGGGAGTCCATATCTTGAGCTAGCTATGAGCTTGTGATCCCTCAATCCACTATCTGGCGTGTGCTAAGAAGACATCTTCATTTGAAAATTTACAGACTATTCATTGTTGAGGCACTTACCAAGACTTTGCTCTTTGTACTTAGCCTACAAGAACCCCAGACTTCACCATGTGTGATATTTTTCTTGTGGGGATAAGTAAAAGATCACATTTATGTTCCACTGCTACCCACTAACCTTGATGACCTTAAACATTGAATAATAACAGCATTTAACTCAGTGGATCATGATATGCTGATATGCACCTGGGAGGAATTCTCTTATTGTACTGATGTTGTCCATGCTCCAGGTGGTAGCCACATTGAACACTTGTAAGAAATAAAAGTTGATTGTAAGTAGAATACTTGTGATTTTGTTGGAATTTTCTATTGCTTTTCCTTATTAAAATATTGCATAATGAAATTAGTTTGTACTTTTTTAATAACCCTGTATTATTACCTTTTCTAAAATTGACAATAAATATCAAATTCCTATTTCCAAGGGAAACAACCCACGTCAAATTAGACAAGACACTGTGTAATTTGAAAAGAACTTGTCCTGAACTTACTTGAGCTGACTCTGAAGTTATAGAAAAGAAAATCTGGAGTAGATTTTTAGTATCAAATTTAGATGTTTTAGGTTAAAATTTTGAAGCAGCCATTAAGATTCTAAGTAGATTTTCAATACTTCTGGATGACTGATCAGGTGGTTAGCTATAAGATAATTATTACTAACAGTAGTAACTCAGCACTGCTTTAAGTGGTTTGGTCAGACTAGTATATTTACCACTATTTTCTGTTAGGGACTATGAGGAACTGCCAATATTCTGGTTTGCTGTAGTCTGTCTTAAAAGAAAACAACTAAAATCTTTATTTGAGAAATTCTTTAATAAAAGAAATTGGTTATGAGGAATATATAATACAGTAGACTTGAAAATGAGGGAAATATCTGTATTAAAATACATATGGCATCGTACTATATATTTCATATCTATATCAAATATGAATGCACAAGTCAAACAAATTTCTCTTCACAGTATTTTTTTTGAAAATGGATTATTGGCTAAAATTATAATATACAGCACTATGTAAATGAATAAAAATGATCCTGATGATTTGATGCAAACAGAAAATTCAAATATAACTAAAACCAGAGAACAAAGAATGAGAAACTAACCATATATTCGTTATGCAAATAATACAGAATAGAATAACTAAAAAAAGAGTAAATTTAGTTTCTTCTTGTTATATGCATTAAAAAAAACAAAAAAATAACTGATGGTTTACAGAAAGGAAAACAAACTTTCAAAAGAACCTTTTCTGCTAGATATATCATCAGAAATGGACGAAAAAGACAAATGCCCTACCTTCTGTCCTGCTAATGCTCTGCCTTTCCTAAAATAACCTTTTGGCCAATTTGGTGATATTGATATTGATTTTTCAGCATCTTTTAAAGCTCTGAAAAAAAAAAAAAAAAAAAAAAAAAAAATCAATGAATTTTACATCCAAAACTACTATAAACATTAATTTAGATAAAAACAATAATTTCTTCAATTTGACATTGCTACTTTTTCTTTAACTTTTGAAACAGTTCAGCTACTGATATCTGTACAGTTCATGTATCATAAAAGTGTTACATTATTGATTGCCATAGTATTAGTAAAAAATGATTCAACTGCAAATAAGTTTTTCCTTGTTGCTTTCTGTAAAATGGAAAAAAGATAACTTATTTTTAACCTCATAGAAAGAAAGCAACAACTTTTAAACCAGAATGTTTCCAGAGTTTCTCAAAGGTTTTTGTATTTTATTTTTGGCTTAAGCTGACCTAACCTCCAAAATATTTGAACAATTATTTCAAAACAAATCATTCATTATATGCAATATGGTATTTGTTATTGAGTCGAACATCACCTTTCCCCAATAAATTCTTACTATTTCAAAATTGTGGGAGAAGTGCAGTATAATTAATAAGTGGTGTTTGGTAAGTATATGTATAATAGAATTCTAAGTATTTTTTCATAAAGATTCACTATTTTTGTCTCAGATTCTGTAGATGCCCAGGGAATGTTCTATTCAAAATGTAACATAAAAGATGAGAAACTAACATGAAATTTAACATTATTCTATCAAATAATTACTTAATATTTTCTTAGTTTTTTTATATAGTAAAAAAAAAAATAAAAATCAATTTGTTAGAGAATTCTTAGGGTATATTTCTAACACCATGCAATAATAAAAAAGCAATAGTCTTTTTTATTATTTTAGTAGTTTTCACAATAATCAAGAAGCATTATATATTCAAAAAGAAAAATAAGTCCTCAATATATCAAATCATTCTTTAACATTTAACAACAACACCTTTCATATAATTAATGTGAAAATCTGTTACACTCCAATCAGCAAAACTCTTTGTGATAAAAAACATGTTTATCGTATACAATTACATCTTTTAAAGATTCAATGTTATAAAGATTAAATATAATGCTTTTTTTTTTATATGGTCATTGCTTGAACAAATCAAAGCAATGACTATATAAAAATGTTGTAGTTAATAAAAAGAGGTGGTCATTAGACTCTGTAAAACTTTTAATTTATTTTCTTTAACGAAGATAATATTTTCAAAGCCCAGAAAAATGTAATCATAAATAACAAAGAAAGCTCAATTATCTACCAGGAAAAAATGAGAAGCAACATGTGCATAATGGGTAAAAAAAAAAAAAAAAAAAAATAGAGATGGCACATGTGAGAGTAAAAGTAGGAGTCTATGGAAGTGGGAATGGAATAAAAAGCAAGCAGTCAGCACTGCAGCATTGTTTTATTTGGTGAGTTTTCATGTGACATTGTTACTGCAGAAAAATTTGTACTGGTTTGATATTTTCTGTAAATTTTGTGTTTATTGTGTTTTAGTATCAGAGGCCATATTAAATGGGAATTTACTCTGCTAAGACTTTTTTTTTTCCTTCTCTTTTTTTGTTCCTGATTAAACTAAATACAAATTATTTTGGCATAAATTATTGTGATATGTCAGGAAAGATTGCAATTAGCAGTAAAATGATAAAGCCATTTTATGACAGGGGACCTAGAAGGATGAATAACAAAACTGAAATTACAAAAGATTCCAGATACGGTGACTTTTATACAACTCTAAGAATAATGATGAATGACATTTTTAAAATATTTTAAGCTTTGAAGATTAATCATAGAAATAAGCACTTAACTTCTTAATATGCAACAAACACTCATTTAAGGAGCAAATTCAATTGAAAATCAAAACAAAAAAAATAATGTAGTTACTTATCATATTGTTGTATTCTCTCATAGCAGTAAGACCGGTTTCCAAAAAAACTGAAAATATAAATAGGTGAAATATAAATAATGTTGAATTTGAAGTCAAAATTTATAAAATACTCGAAACATTTTTACTAAAAAATAAAAAATGTTATGATAGAAAAATGAAATTAACTGATTAGTTACAAAGCTCAGTCAGGTATAATGCCATAAGTATGGGGCATTAGCAAGAATTGAACTCAAAACTAATCATCTGTATAATTTGTTTGCTAAGCATTACTGGACAGCAACATGCACAGGAAAGTTAACTGATAGATTTTTATTTACTTCATTAATTAAAAACTTAATTACTGAAATTAATCAAAGAAAAATTTTTATTTAAGATCTTCACCATTTGTACTCAAGTATTTTTGTTAATAAGGTACTGGAACACAGAAACTGAATATTTATGAAGACTTCAAACAGAACTGAACATATAAGATAAAAAGCACAACATTTTTCAAAAGTTCATTTTTCAGCTATGAATTTATAAATCAGACAATAAATATTATAATAGTATTTTTTTCATTTTCTCATTTTCGGTGTAACCATGTATTGTATAGTGACATTTCAATCATAAGTATACATAAATAAATCTGCAGTTTCATTATAAAAAAGCATTTATTTTATAGAATCTTCTTAATTCAGGGATCAAACATAGAGTGACATGTTTATATCAAAATTCAACTAATAACTATAGGTCAGGCAGTAGACATTGATTCAACCTTATATGTGCATACAAGATAATTTTAACAATAAAAATGCAATAGTTTGAAATTCAGTTATTATCTCGAGGTTTGAAAAAAAAAAAAAAAAAAAACAACAAAATCATGACACCTATTATAAAAAGCAAAGTAGTGAATGTATTCACATACCGAAAATCAGTAGGATCAAGTCGTATTGCTTCGGTAAAAAGATCTATAGCTGCATTATAATGACCCACTTGTGCCATTTCATTACCACGAACTGAAAAAAATTGTATTAAGAAACAATTACATTAGTTAAATAGAATTTTAAACAAGCTTTTGATATTTCTTTTTTAATTATTTTTAATAATTTAAAATTCAATAGAACAGATTTATTTCCTTTAAACAAAGAAACTAATAAAAAAAAAAAAAAAAACATAGTGGTGGGGAAAAAAGTCCATATTTCTAATTTTAATATTTTACATCCAAGTGCATAAAGTCTCTAATGAAATGATGGACACTATAATTACTGACACCTACTCCTAATATGGATTGTGGGATGTTTGCACTATGTAAATTGACATTTCATGCTCGAGTTAATAAATAAATGTTTTGCCAGAGACAAAATTATACTTTTCACACCTTTTAGAAAATTGCAGCAGAAAGAGAAATATATTCTTTGTTGAAGGAATAAGCTCTTAGTTGGATATTAAAAAATTATATTCGTTTTATTTTAAAATCTAACCCTTTCTACTGAACTACCAGAAGGTTGAAGAAGAGTGTTATGCAACATTCTCTAGAATGTTAAATGATTGATTATTTAATAGTTTAAAATAGTTTCCAGAAAGGAAAATGAAAAACAAAATTACTTACTTGCTAATTTTCGACTTCTAAGAACAACAGTATCAAGTTCTTCCATCTGCAAACATGAAGAAAAAAGTTAACTAAAATTTCTAACATAAAAGGCATAAGATAAATAAAAGAAAACAGAATATAAAATAATTAAAACATAAAACCAGAAAAATGAAATTACTAATACCTAAGTACAAACAATGAAGATATTTAAAGAAAAGAAAACATTTAATGAGCAATTTTAAATATCAGGCAACTCAGTGAATAAATTTTAAACATTTACAAGTTTTAACCTATAAAAATTTCATGGTTTTCCTATTTTCATTTTCTAATGAATCTTAATTCTTAAGTTAATGACCAAGTAAGCTCATGATGAGTTCTACAACAATAAAATATCTGTAGAAATTTCCATCACATCATTAGATATTTGGGCTTAACAACTTTAACAAAATAAATTCAATAACAATTATAAATATGAATGCTGGTTCTTATTTTAAGAAGTGGGTACAAATGAAAAGATTTGAAATTGACAACCTTTTCCATTTCAATGAAACAGCAATTGAACACTTCTATCTTTCATTCCACGCAATCAAAACAGAATAATTTATGAGGTATTGGCAGGACATAACGTTTGTGCAAACTAACAAAGAGAGGGATAAGTACAATTCCAACAGGATTATTGTGTGCATAAATGTAAATATATGCTGAATGAATCAAGTGACACCTCTTTACCTAGATTCAATTTTCATATGAATTCAATGCTAGGAAAATGACACAAATCCTAATTACTTTAAATTGGTAAAAAATAATTCTCCCTTTTAAAACATTTTTTTTTAATGTGATAGAAATATGTAAATGATTTAAAATGATTTTGAAGACAGAATTATTGAAACCTGATGATTGCCAGTCACAAATCTAAATGTTTATGTATGTGTGAGCATACATGCTTAATGCATACTAAACTCATGCAAATCAAAGTCATTTTTGAGCCTAAGTATTTTGAACAATTTGAACAGAATTTTGAAAATTATGTCAGTTTTATTTTAGAAGCAATGATTATATATTATATATATATACACACACACACACACACACACTGGGTGTGACAGCAATTATCCATCCCATAAAATGTTTAATATAAAAAAAAGAAAACACTAAACTGATTGAGTTTCTTTTTGCAGATTTTCAGATAAGACATTTAGCCATCTTGACACAATTTTTCATAAGAATCCCTGAAAAGCTCTTTGAGTTATTTAGCTAAAAAGAGAGCAGGTTTAAATTATTTTGTGTCAGACTCACTGTCTTCCCAGCTGAGCAATAGTGAGAGGAAAAAGTTCATTCAGGCCTTCAGTAATGGTACCAACATTCATACTCTGACTTCCATTTAAAGCCCATTCAAAATCCATCAAGAGAATGGTGAATAATTTTTAAAAAGAGAGAACAGTAGAGAGGAAAACTGGATTAGGAGGTCACAACAGGAATAAGGATCATCATTTCAAAAGATCCAACTCAATAGGATGCTTGGCATGTGAGAGAGCTATTTCAGCTATGATAGTCCAAAGAGCAGTGAAAAAAACTTGTGAGGCACCTTGTTACTCCTGGAGAGAACGTTAGAAGATTACCAAGAGTGAAGATCATCTCGAATAAGTTGGAAAATGATTCTGGAATAATATATATATATATATATATATATATTTGAACTTTATTTCAATACTTTATGAGCTTCTGATCCTTAGCTATGATTAATTAATGATGAACATGTCATTTTCGTTTATGATTGATTTCACCATGATACTTCTGTTAAGCTTAGAGAATAATTACAGAATCTAATAGTGTTATAAAAACGTCAGTGAATTTCAGTAAAATATCTTTAATCATTTCTAAGATACAACAGTTCAAGGCTTAATCTAACAGCTGAACAATTTTGCTGTTACAGCCTGTATATGTATAGTACAAAGAGAAAATGTAAATTTAATTTTATGCAACAATATGGCATCTCTGGTACACGTAGCATGAAGAAACTTTTCTCTTAAAATTGCACAAGTCTTTAAACAATTTCAAAGTAAAAAACTAACAAGAGTTAAAATATAGTAACAAAATCTGCAACAGATAAGTAGTTACAACACTTTACTGTGGATGAATAAATATCACACTCCTGAAAATATGCATAAGAAATTGATTAAAGAGAGATGAACTTATACAGCTTTCCCTCACCATTTTCTTTTGCACCATAAAATATCTTCACAAAATTTAAACTTCTGTTTGAATTTCTGATAGGTGTGGTGTTGATACACAGTCTCAACCTATGACATCATGGTGTAATGTTGTAAATTACAACTCTTGCTCACATTTAGTGTTTGTGAAGGGGATGTTGAAAAGTGTCATGTATGCAAGGATATTGTTTAACTTTTAGCAATCTGCATTATTAATATTACTTCCTTTTCCAATGCATTCTTTTTCAAGGTGTCTCAATTGCAGTATCCTTATAGTTAATTTCACTCAAAGTTGTTTTCTGTTGCCAGAGCAGGATATGACAACACAACTATGTTCAGGGATTGTTCAGGGATCAGAATCACCTTCAGTGGTAGGATAAACATTTGTACAGAAAATGAAGTCACATACAAAGTGATAAAAGTTAACTCATTCTACTGCCATTCCTTCAACTGGAAGGTAATATGCTCTTCTTGCAGAATAATACCCAGCCTTATGATATATGTGCTACTGAACATGTTCAAGACATTCAACAACTTTCCTGGTCAACATGATCACCAGACCTGTCACTTATTGAATATGTACGAGATATGATGGAATGATGCTCGATTCATTCACTTAGCCCACCTATATCTCTTGCTATATTGCATCAACAGGTGCAAGAGGCATGGAATAATGTATTACGGGTTGCTATTTGCCAAGCATCTAAATGCTGTTAATACCCAAACTTATTTTGGAATCTATGCATTTATTGATCTGTATAGGTGATCATTTACAGTAATCCTTCTATATCATCGAGTAAATTGAAATATATATATTCAAAGTTACTATTTTATTTAATAACTATCAGACAAAGATTACTTTACAAATTATGCCACCTGTTAAAACATGAAAATAAAAAATATGAATGTATCTTAAAGGCAGAGTTTACACAAGAAAAAGAAAAAAGTAATTTTTACATCAGTATTCTAATGTGGGGATTGAAATGCCATCTTTCTTCTGATTACTTCCAGGTGTCAAGCCATACATGTTACTCACCTCATCTTCGCTCTTTGCACTGTGTGACTGTAGTGTAGCCCTATCTTTACTCCGGTCTTTGTTGGAAACTTGAGATTGTTCACTAATATTGAGATTCTTCTTTTTTTTATTTACAATGTTTGCAAAAAATGCTGAACTAGGGTCGAAATCCTGCAAAACAAATAATCTAAGTTAGTCTTTGATAAAATTAAATAAAGCAGTATAACAAAGTTTTAAAAACAGGATAGTAAAGGAAATTTTTCAGTGGATTGTTCAAGTTATATTATGAACTTCTTTTTTTTTTCATTATTTCTGTATTTATTTGACAAAAAAAAAATCACTTTAGTCATTTAAAATTTTTTTCTCTTCACTTTAATAATTATAATGAGTGCTGAAAAGTTCTCAACCGAGCACACTTGTCAAAATTTGACCAAACATTTTTTTAAAGGCTGTTTTGATTTCAGCAGCCACTCATACATAATATTTTATCAGTTATGTATTTCAGCTCAACAATTTAATTTTCTTTTTTTTATAAATCTGTATACAATATATATCTACACTAACACTTTTTTTAAAAATATAAAAATTGATCAAAGCAATAATTTTTCAATTTAATAATCAGGTGTTATAAAGCAATTGCATATACAATTCTCAGCTGCTATGACACTCTAGTTGAAGCTGGAAGCTAGGATTGATAATTTAATGCCAAGAAAAAAAGGATAAGCTAAAGTGGTTAAAAATAAAATTCCTATCTTCCTAAATCTACAATACCAAATAATATAGTAACCAATTGTGCAATGGAAGATAAAAACAGTTTGTGTGTGTAAAGTTTTGGGTAGAAAACCTTACCTTAACATTTTTAGATTCATTTGTATGAATATGCTTAAAAAACCTCCACATGATCAAAAATTAATAAGGGAAAAACTTATATCAATTAATAAAGTAATTGTGGAAAAAATAAATGAAATATACTTGCAAATCACATAACAAAACAATGAAATGTGATGAATAATCATGCAAATAGATTTGGCATTAAATAGAAGAAACAAAATGGTTGCTTTCCCCAATTGTGATGTCCTTAACTGAAAGTAACTTATACTGTAGTTCTATTTTGTATAATTTCAAGAGTTAAATTGGTGAATACAATTTTAGTAAAAGATAAATATGTGCAGATACAAAGGTAGTGGTGGGGTGAAAAGTTCTTCATCTAACAAAAGACCTAACAGCAGAATTTATTTTTGAAGACTTTCTTAGTACTGAAAACTTTTCAGTAGTAGCTCAAGCAAAGTGACATGAAATTATAGACTGTGTCAATATCAATCAAGTTTATAAGTCTTTTTAAAAGAGCTTCTAATATAGAATAAAGATATTCTATTTGTAATGTTTGGTAATTTTAATGCCTTCTTTGCACTCTGAAAACACTTGCTAAATTGGCATAGTAACTTGATTAGGCTTCATACTTCACAGTACACTTAAATCATATCTGTAAGAGACATTGCTATTCATGCAAAATATTTCAAATTTTTCTCACTTTATTCAGTACCATATTTGCAAAATCTAGAATACACAAAGGAGTAACAACTTTAGCATGATGGCTAGCAAGTCTGTTGTATATAACCAATTCCATTACATGTCCCATTACTGAGGCTTTATAGACTAAACTAAGCTTAATAAATAGACATAATATACAGCTAAATGAAAAACACCTGTTTTTGTATTACAAAGTACCATAAACTTTCATTAGTCTTCTTGTATGTTCAACATCTAACTCATCTATAATTGTTTTACACACACTTGTATTTACACAACCATAACAGACATTCAGATATCTGCTTGTCACAAAGACTTCTCTTTTTTACTTATTCATATTCAATTTATTTTAATATATCCAAAATTATATTCAAGTTTTATATGAATTATGTAAGAAATTAGAAATTTAGCTCATTTGGTTTTTTTTTTTTTGTTCCTTTTAATCAATTCGCCCCAAGCAAGTTGACAATGCCACCAGAATGCAAGGGGCTACTGGGAGTTAAAGAAAAACCTTAGAAAGAACCAGAAACTCAATCCTAAAAATGGTAATATTGAGTAAGAATACTTATTTCCTATTATTTGATTATGGTTACTAAAATTAATGCATCAGATGCTTAAACTTGACAAAACCAAAAGAAACCTAAATTAACAAAGACTGAAAAGTAAAAAAAAATGTTGAGATCTGATTTTACTCTTTTGTAAAATGACTCCAGATGAGGAAGATTTCATTGTTATATAAATAATTTGTATTCTTACAGTTTATGGATCATAAATCTGCAGTACACAAATATCTTTTCCAATATTCACTTTAGTTCTAAATAAAAACAGTGGATCAGAGAGAAAAAAATAGAAGATATTCCTGAAGTAGTTTCTACAAATCAGACATAACACTGTTGCTTTCTCAAACTGAACAGGATCATCTATCATTAAGATTGATGACCTCTCCCCTCATCCAACCAGGATATAAAAAGTACAAAATATTTTCTTTTCATTTTACTAAATTTAAAATCAGTGTTAAACATTATTGAAGTTTATTAAATGCACATATTTATACTCTTTGTATTTTATTTATATATGGCACATCTTTAAAAATAACAAGGTAAGTTTTTCAGCTAATCCTAATTTAGAAAGACTACATTAAAATGGATGCAGTGGTAGATAATAAAAGATTTCTCTGAAAGATGATGTAATGCATAAGTAGCACAAAGAATCACTGAATTGATATAAAAAATGTTTGAAGATCCATTTCTCAGAGGTAATTAGTATTGTTTGTTCTCACAAATTCCTTTAAGAAAAAGCAATTTCAAAATTAAGCAAAATGATTCTTTAATAAATACTAAAGTCATTGTAGAAATTATATCACTTCTATTTTGTAAATATTTGTTTAGTAATTTGTAATCCTCTAAATGCTAAATTTAAAATCAGTCACAAGTCACATTGCATGAAAAATTAGTTATGTTAAACTACAAAAACAGTGAGAAACATCTGAAATTAAATGGAAGAGCAAAGCAGTAAAATTTAATATTTCTTCTTTTTTTTATTCACTACATTTCAGCTGTAAATTATCAATTAAATGCAATAGCTGATTATCTAACCTTAAAATTGGATTCAGTTTTAGAATTTCTTATATATATATATATATATATATATACACACACACACAAAGACTTGTACTCAGAGAAATAGAAAAACAAGATAAACATCATTATTAAACCATTAGGACCCTTTCAGCCAATGCTTTTTCAAAAAGTAATCATTGGCAAAACACAAACAAAGACACATTAATAATAAATAACAAATGAGGAGGGTAAGTTGGAATGCGATTAAAATGAATTTTAATTGTAAATAAATTCAGGATTAAAAAAAAAAAAATTAGGAAGTTCTAAAAGAGAATAAAGTAGAAAAAAGTCACTCACAGTCCCTTGGTCAAACATAAGGAACGCATAAAATGCTCCTTTTATTTGCATAGACTCGGCTGCTGAAATTTGATGTAAACAGCCTCAAGAACTCAGAGATTGTAAACTGATAGTTTAAAATTCCAAAAAGGTTACTGAGTCTGGTGTACACAATTGTTAAAACATTGTGAGTATAATAACCAAGATAAGTATATGTGTCCCAATGGCTACAGACTTGTTGATCATGTAAAATATAAAGAAAAGCTAAAAAAAATTGAAAAACTTTTAGAATCTTTAAATCAATATTTCCATTTCTGCTGACTGGAAAATTGTTGTCATTATTTGGTGCAGAAAATGAACAGAAAGTGACAAGGCAATTAAATAATTTTTATAACCATAAGCAGATATCCTTTCATAATCGGAATAGAATCAAGCTTTATATTTAATTCTGTTCAAACATAGAACTATGGTGGGAAGAATATTTTATTCAATTATCTTCAATTTAGGAATACACTTTCTTTATTCAGTGTACTAAAGTATATGTACTTCTAAAACCCAACTAAAATAGAGAAAGATAAGAAATGCAGTAAATCAATTTAGTCACCATGCAGTTAAGTAAACATCTACATTGAGATTAGAAGGTACAGAAAAGTGTTATGATCTGTAACAAACTTTTACAGCACCTTCTGTTTCTTAAAGATCAATAGAACACTTCTGGTTAATTGATTGTGCTACAACTTCAAAATATTCTTTTGAACAATTCCAGGTTAAACTATTACATGATAGTTCTTCTAATCACATTAATTTTAAGTTTTGTTTCTTTTCTTTATTCTAAGACTAGCAGTAGAGCCCGGCAATGCCCAGGGATGTAACAGTAAGAGATAGATCAAGTATCAACCATCATGAAGACCGAAAAATAAAATTGACAAAGATTGTTTAAGGTTGACAGACACGCATGTCTTAATTAGTTTTTTTTTTTTTTGTTTCGTTTTTTTTTTTTACGAATTTACCGATTGAATAGAATTTTATTATAAACAATTGTCTTGTAAATGGAATTTTTAAAGCATTCTGAATGTAAAAATAAAGAAAAAAGTGTGCAAGACAATAAGAAACACTACCTGCCAAAAAAAAAAAAAAAAAATGAAGTTTTGTTGAAATCGGTTGAAAAATGTAGGAAATCCGATCCCATATATAAACGAACACACACAAACAACCAACCTGGGTTTTATAATAAGTATAACTCGATATGAGTTGTCCCCTTTCATTAATGCCTCTTAATCGTGTTTTCAAATTGATTTCGTGCAAAAACAATTGTGTTTTTCCAATTTTTGGCGCTGTCAGAATCACCGCAAGGTAATTTTACGTAGTCCTGTGAAGTTTTGTTGAAATCAGTTGAAAAATATAGAAAATCCAATCCAATATATAAACGAACAGACACACACACAACCTGGGTTTTATAATAAGTATGATTAGTATTATTTGAATAGAGTTGGTATTGAAACATATTTATTACCTTAAACAATATTGAATCAATATAAAAAAAACATTTTTTTCTTTGACTATATTAGCAAAGTGGCTAATTGATATTTAAAGTGATAACAATAATCATGATACACATTCTGTACCAAAATTTAACTATAGTAAAGATGTGCCCTTGCAAAATATATCACTTGTTTTACTGAATATGCATATACCAGCAGGGACATCTACCATTACTGAGATAAAATAATTTCAAATATAATAACA